GCTTGTGAGATTGGTGCCCGAGTGGAATGCGGTGATTGCGCTTTAATGTGATAAAGTTTCGTAGCTTAGCGAGTTGCGGGTGATGTGCTGTATTGGCTATAGACGGGGTGGCGTTATTGGTGGAAAAACGATAAGGTTCGTCTCACTTGTGTATACCTGGTTGCGATTTGCTGGCGTTTCAATGGTGCACTTGCTCTGGAGCTGAAAGATTTGGTGATCCAGTGTACTATGAACTGGGAGTTTTTACGCCACCCCAAGAGGGAGTGCGACTTTTCGTCGTTCATGGGTGGCACAATGCTATGGTGTTTCGCTGATTGGATGCAAGGCGCGGTTTTGTGGTATAGGACCGCGCCATCACCGTATAAGGGGCATTCACACTTAGAGCGCTGTCAGTAGCAGGTTTGTTGCAGGAACAGTCGTCGAGGCAGAATGTCTGCTTTGCACGCGTGTGTGTGGGAGGTTCAATGGGTTCGGAGGTTCCAGGTGTGAAAAAAGTTGGATTAACTGCGACATAGCCTCTGGTGGGTAGCTGAGTCGGGAGAGTTTCAGTCCACTCTCATAAATTGACCTCACTGATTCACGTTCAGGGTTCTCTTGGAGGCCAGTGGAGGATCCGATTATGGGGGTTTGGATAAGGAGGCCGGCGAGTGTTTGTTAGCAGATCAGGGCGGGTAGGCGCAGTCGTCGCCATTCTCAAAAGCAACGCTTCAGGGCGCACGAATGTATCGTCGAGCCGTTTGCGTTGGGACTTTGCTTTTGTAGGCAGCCTCGGGTTGGGTGTGCTAGAACGGGCGGCGTCTGCGCTAAAATGGCTTGATTCCGCGGTGGAGTAGTTCGGTTTGCCGGCCTTGTCAAAGAAAGAAGCAGGCTCCAGAAGGAGAAGGCTTCAGGCGGAGGATCCAAGACTGTGCAAAGGGGGAGTCGAGTAGAAACGCAGAGTGTATGTTACGGTCGCACGGGAGGATGGGTCACGAGCGCGGCTCTCGTCTTATTAGCTAAGGTCACAGCGGGTGGGCGTTGTTCCACTTATTGGCAGGTTGGGATTGCAGAGGCGTGATCGTGCATTTGACAGTGATAGATGCTGATAGTCTCTCTGGAGCAGGGATGGAGAGCGCAGTTAAGTCAGCGTTGTTACATCAATCTGCGGCTTGTGTGGCTTATCTGTGTTTCGGGATTTTCCCCAAAAATAGGCGGACATGCATGAGCTTGTTTTTTTTTGCGCAGACTGAGAAGTGGATTCGTGAATCAACAAGAATAGTGTAGACTAAATAGGACAGTGGTTCGATGTCCAGGTTAGGGTGCTGCCAGCGCATTATCCCAACAGCTAATGTTGCACAAGTGTGAGTCTAATTGAGGGGAACCCAACGGTCGTGTTGGTAAGTAGGTGAAAGTAGGACGCCAGTGGGCGGAAGTCAGCGTCTTTCGTTAGTCGCCTGGAAGTTGTAGTTGGTGTATCGAGAGAATACGATGACGGTTGAGACACCAAGTGGTGGGCATAAATCCCCAGCAGAACGAGGGAACGGGACGATCCGGAACGTATTGTAGCAGGTGTCTTTGTAGTGCAGAGGGGAGGATAGCCTTTGTGGGTAGGGATGAGTGACGGGTGGGGTTAGTAATCGTCCTGACCGAGTGTCACGCCACTGGCTTGTCGCAAGGTTGGAGCTTGACACGGGAGTCAGCAGCGCGGAGTCATGTAACACCTCTGCCCTGTCGCTTGTTGGGTGCATGTTGGATGATCGTGTAGACATGGAAGTCCCGGAATGTTCGGGAGCGTGGTCTGTATGGTAGGGGGTCAATAGGCGGGCTTGTTAATTGGGGAAAGAGTTTCCAGTATGGGTGCTCGTGGCGGTCGGTTGGGCCTGGGCCCAGCTGCGTCGAGGTTGTATAAGCGTTTGGCAGCCTAGCCCACATTACTGCTGAGCGGCTTTGGCTGGATTGCGTCCGGAAAGACGCAGGTGATATGCTGTGGTCGGTTCTCCGTGAGTCTATGTGCGGGGGGATGAGTGGTTGCCGACGTGTAAGCCACGCAGTGCTGCCATGGCCGAGGATCATGTTCGCAGATGCGCTAGGGTTAGTAGAGTTCTGTGTATGTGGTGCGCGCTTGGACCGGATTTGTGTCCACAATTTCGCTACTTTGATCGTGTCGGGGCGGTTGAAGCGATCGCGCAGACGGATAGAACCGAGCACAGTCGGTGGGGACAGGAAGGAAAGCATGATGATTGAACGAAGAATCTTCCTTTGTGGGATCGGTGCAGTGCCAACCGGGAGATCGCTAGTCCAGGAGAGTGGTGAAACAACGTATGAGAGTACGGTCGGTGAATCCAAAATGTTTGAGGTATGTAGCAAACTAAACAATTGTGGGCCGGTGAGGGGTTTGGGGGTTTTGAGCGGTAGTCGTGAGAAATGTTGATGTAGCAGGATCACCATGTAGAGACTGTAGGAGGCAGGCGGTTTTGGTAGTGCCAGTGCCTCAGTGTTGTATTTTGGTGATTTGATGTAGGATGGGTGCGTGGAGTAGATGCCCGGTTGCCCACTGGCACGGCCGGAACGTAGGGGAGTTTGAGGTCACTTAGGAGACTGACGCATTACCCCGCGCTCTTTGTAATACATAAAAGACTTACGCGCAGTAGGCCAACGGGCTGGTAAGGGTTGAGGTGAAAATCGTCGCCCAGTTATGGATGGCGTGGGTGAGTTATGATTAAGCTCATGGTGAGCGGTCTTTGTGTTATGATTTTTAGGATTTACCAAAGAGGGGCCTATATGAAGTCCAATCCATGGAGAGGCGTGGTTTCAATTGGGCCACAATTGTCTGGGAAGTTACAGGATGCACACACGGAAAGGTTTGGTGAGAGTAGCATTTGTCGCCGAACAGGTTTGGGTGGAACGGGGGGTTGACATGGCCGAAAGTCCAACCCGAGGGGCATTCACAAGGGTGGATTGGGGGTGAGTTCGGGGTCTAAGCATCAGGCCGGCTGGGTCATACGCGCCACTGTGTAGGTGCGAGGGAGTTGGCCTGAGGGATTGGGTGGTTGTGTCGGGGATGCCTTTTAGGGCTTCTAATTGGATCTAAACTGTTTTGCGCCGCATTTTGTGCGCACTATGTACACGAAGTGTTCGGTTTCTTACGAGCACGGCTCTCAACGAGATAGATGTAAGGCTGTCATTAGACTGGGTTGCTTTGTTCCGGGATGCGGTTGACTGGCGATCGTGTCACGCGAGTTAATATTTTGTTGTTCTGTCGCGGGTCTTGGTTGTTGGTGGAATGGCTGGAGTATGAATGGTTATTGACGGAACTTGTCAAGAAGATGTGCGCTGGTGGTGGGGGTAGTGGTAGTACTGGGACACTGAAGGTCCACCGTAGGTGTTGTTGGGCGTGTCGAGTTGGGTCGGCAGGAGTTCACAGCTCGGTTTTGTCATGTACATGTGTTCGTGTGCAGATTGGATTACGAACGCAGTTTCCATTGGAGTAATGGTTTCGTGTGCATCGCACGGTGGGAGCGAACCTTCGTAGTGGCTGGGGTGGCAGCGTGTCGAAATGAGTTATTGTTGTTGGTTTGTCGGGCATTTTAGCTACTAGGGTCAGGCTACGTCGGTCGGGGTGCGGGAAAAGGTGTGTTGTGCGTGCCAGGCGAGGCATTGACGGTATTTGGGATTCGCGGTGAGGTGGCATAATTTCAGGTGCGTGGTAAATGTTGCGCTTGGGAGAATGCGAGTGCGGATTGAGTGCGGACGTTGTGAAGGTTTGTGTACCCTATCACAGGTCCACAGGGCTGTCTTGGGTCATGCAATAGATGTGTACAAGGAAGTGGAAAGAATGCGGTGACGGTAGTGGTGAACGGGCCTTGGGCGTTGATGTGCTTTAATTCGTTATGTATTTTAGGTTTGTTGTTTTGTCAGTTTAGAGCGGAGTTCCGGTTGGATGATTGACGTTTCAGGACGTCTGGGGGGGTTGCGTGGCAGAACTCAGGGGTCTGCACTAAACTGGGGAGTATACGGGGTTGGGTTTTGCGCCGTTGCAGTTTATATCGTTTGTTCAAACAGCGGCATGGCTAAGGGTAACAGCACGCATAGTGAGTGCATGCACCGACCGATATGCGGCACAATTGATGGATATGTTTTTCCGCATGCCGAGGAACGCACCATTTCCCGTCTTGTCTTTATAATGGGCTGTTGTTGGATAAGGCTTGTGGGTGGTGTGGTTCGGGAACACAGGTGTTTAAGAGTGGTGAGTTCGGCGTGTGGGGGGTCGGGAATTTTCAAAGATTCGTTGAGAGAAGATAGGGTGTCGTCTGGGTGGGGTACGCCTGACCACACACGCTGCGTGTGCTGCTTGCGAGAAGTGCGTGATAAGGAACTAGTTATGACGGAATTTGATCAACCAGTTTTATTAGGTGGAGGGGGGTTGATACGAACAGAAGAGAGCTTGGTGTATTTGGTACGTCATTGTGGAGGGATTGGGGATGTACTTGTGTGATTAGCTTAAAGTGAGAATTTGGAGAACTGTAGCTTGCTAGACTATTGCAGGAGAGAGATTGTTGTGTACGGGGCTAGCTGGCTTGTAAAAGGGAACCTTTCACTCCTCGGACTTGGGCGGGTGGGTCGAGGCACACAGGGTGTAGCTGAGGGGTGTGTTGTATCACCGAGCCGTATCATTCATTAGATCGTGTTTGATGTTGATGATGATGGTGGATTGGGAGTGATGTTGGTGCACCGGGGACTTATGAGGGGTGAATGGAGTGTGGGGGGTGGGGTCGTTGCACGCCGCCACGCAGGGTGGTTTGTAGTGTGAAGAGGCGCGTTGGAAACTTGGATTTGGTTAGCCAAACTCCAGCCACCAAGGTAGTCGTGGTTGATTTATGGATAGGATGGAGATGTTATAGGGCAGAGATTAGTGGGCTGGTTAAGAATGAAATGATGGGTGGGGACCAGCTTATAGGCGCCTTGGTCGACCCATAATACCAGGTAAAACAGTGCGGCTGTGTGGGAAAGTGGGTGATGGTTTAGGTTTACAGCAGGTGCCTGGCGAAGGAAATACTTTGCTTGCTATGCTCACGATTGTGCCGGAGGCTAGGATACGGGTTGAAGACGGCGACGTGAGGTGGAGAAGACTGGCGCGCGATGACAGTGATTTATGAGGCGATGCTGAGTAGAGTTGTCATTGAACTTGGTCGGCTGGCAGTCAAGTAGGCAGTGGTGGGCCATGGTGTGGGCATAGTCGAATCGCTCGTGCCATTGTCACCATTACCAGGGTGGAGTGGAACCAGGGGCGGATCTAGCGCAAAAGAGAGGCATGTTTTTTTAGGAGAGGTGTAGGGCACTTGGGGTTGTAGGAACGCTATTGAGGTTTCACGATTGAACAGGTCAGTTGGTAGAGGAGTTTTCGTATGGAGACTTGTCACGAGGACAATCTCGCTGAGGTAGGAAAGTGGTGGCGGTGAGGTACGGTTCAGAGTGCTTAGATTTGGGCTATGTGACTAACAAAGTTGGTCAGACAGTGGTGAAGATGAGCAGATGGGTGTGGGGTTGTTGTGCATGTAGATAGTGGAGAATTTGGTGGAATGAGGCGGCAGCACCACTGTCGCTGCTTGATGGGGCGGTGGTCATCTTTGGGTATAAACATGTTAACATTTGGACTAAGACTTAGCGCTTGTTGTGAAAGCGCCGTCACCAATGTTCACACGTTTTGTAAGTGTGAGTGAAATATTGAACAAGCGCGGGATTTGTTGAGAGCGATGAGGGCTGATATTTTAGTTCATTTGGACAAGGATTACGATCGGCTGGATTACAACGGAGGTTGTATGTGGCTATATGGATGCGCGGTGATGATTCCGGGTGATGACGAAAGGAAGAAACAGGGTATATTTCGTTGTATCAACGTTTGTGCAAGCGGTTTCCGCTTTGGGTTAATAGTTGATGGAGGATCTCATATGGAGAATTGATGTTTTACGAACATTTGCACTATGTAGTTATTTCGTTTTGCTGTCTCTGTTTGCGCATGTCTTATGGATCTGCATATTCGTTGTCTACACACAAAGGCACAGGAAGGCTTGCAGGATTGAGAATGAGCGTGTTTGCTGTGTGGCGCGTTTGTCGTAGGTCCAGGGAGTTCGGACGCTCATTTTTGATTGTTTGTATCCAGAGTCGGCTAACTTGTTGTAGATGGAGGGGTATGGTCGAGGGCGTCGTGTGTACTACGGTGTTTCCTGGTAGGGTTTTTATCATATACGGGTAATTTTGGGTGAGGGCTTTTAATCAGCTGTTGTATATAATGTATAAAACCGTTATACCGGATATGGACGCTCGAGCACGGAGTGGGTCGGGTTTGGGGGGTTTGTTTTGTTTGGTGTGGTGTGTGCGCTAGGGTTGGTTACACTTCTCTTATTGCACACGCTAGTGGTCTAAGGTGTGTCTACATGTCTGGACGGAGAGTTGTTTAGGTCATGAAGAGTGGAAGAGCGATGGGACGGTGTAGGCACGCAACTGTGGTCGGAGGATTGTCCGCGGCTTGTATCGTTGGAAGGGGAAGTAATTATGTTGGGCACACTACGGTAGAGTTAGTAGTGAGAATTCATGAATGGTGTCTTCATGGTAGTATGGGGGTATGATGGGGTGCACGACGGTGCCGGGATGAACAATGGGCAGTTCGCTTGGGGGTGTAATGCGAGCACTAATGCACGGAGTCGCGACGTAAGGGTACAGACTTTATAGGCGAGTCAGTTGTTTTCGGTTTCGCCGGCACAGTTTTCATGTCGACTTCGGCGTTATGTCGAGTCTACACGTCGGAGACGGCGAAGGTGGTGGGAGTGCAAGCGAAATTTTGATGTTGGGCTGAGGGGAGTTATTGCTGTTTGAGACTACAAACCATCTCATTGTCGCGCAACCGCGAGGCGGGTTGCGGCCCGGTAACATGGTGAGTCGTCTGTTCCGCTAAAGGCTTAGGAAATTGCGCTGAGGGAAGTGACGTATTGGTGGGAGGATCACGGTATTTATGAAGAGGTGGTTAAGAAATCATAATGGCTTTGTTACGGCTGGGAATGGTTAGTTGGGGGGGGAGATGCGAGGCGTAATAAGTTACCAAGTTTGTCTTTACTCAGCTACTATCGCTTAATGTCCTTAGTATATAAAGATACAGCTATGGTTGGGTGGTGAGGTGGGGGAATCCAAGGTTAACGGCTTTCGAAAGACATACCACGCGGTGGGGCGTTGCTGGATGGCATGAGGGATGTGCCTCATGAGAAGTCGGGAATTTTGAGCTTGGAGGGGGGGGAGGATCATGCAAGGACGCTCCACTAGGGGCGTAGCGTGGGTCTTGCGCTAACTACCCACAGTCGGGAAAGGTTGGTGTATTCATTGGCATCGGGTTTTTTTACTGGGGGCTGGGATGAAGCTATGTATCTATGTATGCTACAGACATGAAATCGGGAGGGTTGTGTGTTTGCTTGCCCCGCATCGTGGATCAGTGTGTATCGGTTGCGTTCGGGGCTTAGATGGGTAATTCGGGCTGGAGGTTGTAGGCAAGCTCTAGTTCGCAGAATTTTGTGTTAGCTCCAAGTAATCAGGGTGCATAGAAGGTGAATTGAGTTAACCAAAGTAGATGCGTTGTGTAGCTGCTGTTCAGGGCCAGTGACGATAGCTTGGTGTTATTTGGGTCTGTTACGTTTGTAGCGTCGCGAGGCAGGATCTGGCTAGGTGGTGGGCAGGGCGGGGTTTTGGGCATTTCGTATGAGAGGTTGACTGAGACGGTGTTTGGATGATAAAGAGTCCCCACACAGAACTTCTGGTCTCGTGTGTATCTAATCGATTCAGGAGGAGCAAAAGGAACATAATACTTGTGGCAAGCCGAAGAATCTGTTTCGAAAGGAATCGAGACCACGCGGAGTAATTGGCTGAATACTATAGATGGTGTTTCGAGCAGCAGGCATTTGTCCACAAATGCTTGGGAGTTTTAGAACGAGGTAAATGTGTTCGGTTGTGGTAGAAACTTCGTAGGTTTGACGATAGTTTGGGGTTGGCTCGCAGCGGATATGGGCTTGGTGTTGAGTGGTGTCCCTGGTGTTGAGAAAGTAGCACTGTGTTGCATACACGGGCGCTATATTTTTCGGCCGTTTACTTGGGTTGTGCAACAAACGAGTTTGCGCATGACCCAGGGATTGTGTTGACGTAAGGTGAAAAACGGGAGTCTGTTGAACTGGAATAGACCGACAAAGTTGAGAGGTGTTAATAGATATTAAGCATCATGTGTAGTCCTGTACGTTGGTCGCTATGGTGTCTCTTGAAATTCTGTTGTGCGCGGAGTCAGGCTGGGAGACGATTAGGGGTAAAAATAACAAGATTACGGTTGACTCGATCGCAGCGGGCAGTTTGTCATCGCGGAGCATTTTGCAGCTGAGGTTGGGCACGTCACGGAATCCAATGGTCGGGGGAGCGCTAAGGGAAGCACCAGAACCACATTTTGAGATAATGACGTGTAGGTGTCGGTGGATCGGGTGCGGAGAGTGAGCTCATTTATACGAACAACGACGCGTGGTAGTTCTGGTTAATAATGCTGGACAATAATACTCCGTTTAGGCAGGCGATGGACCGCACAGGCAGCTACTCGGAAGGTCTTCCGATCGCGCGATGACACATGGCGGATAATTCGTGAAGAATTGCGTGTGGGTCGGTTGAGATCAACTGCGCGACTCGAACTGTATGGTTCAGGGAGATAACCGGGCGGTTGATGGTCAGCTCGACCACGATCGACAGCGAGGAAACTACGGTTGGGTATTCAAGGGCGTGTCGTGTGGCCAAGAAAGAGCATGTCTAAGTCTTTCTGTGACATTGCGTTAACCTGTCTGTGCGCAGTTACGGTGCGACAATAGTACAATGTTTGCGGTACGGGCGGGTGGCCGGACGTTCGAACGCTAGTGTTTATGTGATGACTTTCGAGGGCGTAGTAGAGAGTTACTATTTATCGAATGGAGAGCTGCGGCAAGAAGGGTTTATCATAGTTGAGTCCTAGGTCTCGAGCATGCCTTGGCACGATCATGCACTAAATACAGTTGCACCGGTAGGATGAACGGACGGGGCTGGCTCGCCGAAACTACCTTCCCGCGTGGGTGAACCGCGGGGGTATGTGGTGGTGTGGTAACCCGTTCCAGCGAAAAGGTGCGTGTTCTGTGGCTGAAGCAGAGGGGGTTTCGGTATTTAACACTTGTCGTTGGGAGTCGGCATTGTGGGATTCTGCAGCACGAGGTAGTTTGTTGGGAGTGGGGGACGTGTCATGGGGGAGTGGTTTGGCCCGCGCTCTGTGGTAAGACATTCTGAGTGTCGTAAAGCACAAATGGTGACTGGATGAGCTGGTGAGATCATTACACAGTTAAGCGCGTTTGGCCTAAGATTGGGCGAGATTTCGCCTAATCGTTTCCCGCACGTCTGTTGCCTTGTGGTCGCGGTGTAAGTGTCTGATGAGTTATGTCAAAGGGATCGGGGGGGTGGGAGGTTATTCACGCCGCGTCTTTTCGAGCACAAGATCTGCACTTGTGGAAGCAACTGTACATAGACGCGGGTTATCATCTAGCTGACGGGTGCCTGCTGAGATTTCGTACATTTGTGGTCGATCGTGCTACCCCAGCGTCACGCACGCCAAGTTGTTTTTGTTTGCGTAAGGAGACGATTACTCACTGTTTTTGGGGTTGGAGCCGATATTTCATGTGGTTTCCAGCATATGCTGGCGTTGCGCATTACCGGTTGCTACGTGCCGATAAAGGGGATGTCATACCTAGGGCACTTGCGCGTTCTGTGGGCCCCGCGGTTATGAGGCAGTTTGCAGTCATGGCTGGCTTTGCAATCGCCGTGTCTAAGCGCAGCCCACGAATTGCAGGATATCCCGAGCATACTGTGCTGTTACAAGGTGATCGGTCATTCCCCACTATCAAGGAAGGTCTCAAGTATATTCAACCATAGTCGTGACTTTGGGGGAGAGGTCACACAGAGAGCAAGCGTCAGCAGGTTTGTTGGGCGGGAGGTGCAGGTTATAGTAGCAGCGTTGAGGGGGTTGGCGAAGGGCCGATGGCGGCTACTTACTTGGTGACGGTGGTTTCCCGGGAAACGTTAACACGGCCGATCTATGGTGCAGATCAGGATCTTCGGGGGTGGTTTTCATGGTGAGTAGATTATCAACAGGCACTCGGCGAAGAGAGGGACGATACTTGCTGTGATTGCCGGTGTATGTTCAGCCTACAATACTGTAATAGGTTGGCGTGGGCGAGGACTCGGGGCGATAGGACAGGATTCGACTAACTGAGATCTGGAGCAAACAGACTCGGTGTGGTACGGATAATGCTAAAAGTGTCGGATGTGTGGCTTTGTGGGTGTTGGATCTGTGGTTGAGGTGGGGGGACTTCTTTGGTGGTGCAGTTGGCACACGTCGGTGTGCTGCGGCTGGTAGACTGTTTACCGCCATGGAGTAATACGGGAGAGAGGGGAGAGTTATAGGTAGGAGAGGTTGGGTCTTGGGTCACACAGGTTTGTGCAAACGAGGGGGACATAACACACCGTCTTGGATGTTCATTTGCTCGAGCAACTAAGGCGTTCATGGCTGTTTACTGGATAGAGGGGTGTCACGCATAGTCGTTGCTGGTCGTTCCTTCTGTCTTTTCAGTGGGGGATAATCAGACAAGCCGTGGGTCTTCAAAGTGGCAACTACATGTGACAAGTAGCTTTAGGAGTTCGGCCTGGGAAGCGTATCTGGGTTGAGGGGCTGCAGGTGCTTGTGGAGGTCGTACTTTTGGGGTTTTGGATTTCAGATTCATCTGGAAAGTTCGTGCGCGAGAGTGAGAGAATCGGGGTATGGTGGTTTTGGTGGGGGAGAGATTCCCGGAAGGGGACACGAGGAGTCAGTTCCATGAGGATTGATGTAGAAATTACTGAGTGTTAGACTGGAGGTTTCCGTGCGTGTGTCGCCAGGGGGGAGTGAGACTTATCAGGGTGTTCGTCACTTGGCATAGTGTGCAACATTGTGGGCAAGGTGTTGCAGAGTCGCACGGCAGGGAGGGAAGTGGTAACAGACAGATTTGGGTACGTGTGGTTATGACGGAGGCGCGCTGACAACCATCCCGTGCGGAGCCGTCGATTCTGCGGTCTAGACTGTGGTCGAGCGGCACCCCTTTGTGGAAGTGCGTCAGTGTGGGGAGGTGTCTCTCTGGCACGGGTTGTCGGTGTCTTGGAGCTGTTGTGAAGGAGCGGGCTGAAGGTCGATGTAATTCCCCGGTCGGAATGTGGGGTCAATGGATGTTCCAGCGAGCGATGTGCGTCTCTTGTTTAGCCAAGACCGGCTTGTGGCTTTGGCAAGCAGATAGGTTACGCAAGGCTCGCGAGACATGGTGGTCTGAGCGTGCTTTAGAGATGGAGACTGCTGCCCTCTCTGGTAACACTCGCAGGCTTTTCCAACACATTCGGTTCACTGGCCTCAGGAAGCCTGGTGTCAGTGAGGTCATTTATGAGGTGGATGAATCTCCGATCAGTAACCAACAGAGACGTATGGACCGCTGGGCCGAGCACTTTCCCTCGCAGTTCAACTGGCCTCCACCAACTATCAGTACATGCAGCACACCTAGTTTTCCACCCTGGCTCGTCCCATTGAATCCACCCAGCGAAGCAGAAGTCTGCCTCGAGATTCGACGCTTGAAGCGCTTTAAGGCAGCCAGCTTAGACGGACTTCCTCCGGAGCCATGCAAGTATGGCGGTGTGGCGGTCATTAACCAGCTAACCGCGCTGTTCGCAAAAAGTTGGCATGAAGAGAAAGTGCCTTCCGCTTGGGGCGAATCAGTTATTGTCCCAATTTTCAGAGCAAGTGCATTATCAAGTCGCAAGGGTAAGAGGATTATCGTTCCACGTACGCCGTTGCATAGAAACCGCCAATGCTAGGCTAGAACTTTATAAGAGTCACGTCAGGCCACATCTAGAATATTGCTCTTTTGGATGCAGCAATCTACGTAAGTCAGAACGTGTTCTGCTTGAGAAAGCTCAGCGACGCTTAACGAAGATGTTGACTCACCACCGCAGCATCAGCGCTGAATTACCGAATAATGTCTGTGAACCACCTTAGAGAATTTCAGCCGCTATGGCAAGGCCACATATCCTTAACCATGTGCTTCTACTTACATAAGCGTACATTCATAGAAAGGTTGCAAAGTAATATCACTCTGTCTTAAACTAAGGAGCGCGTCTGGAATCCGAGGCACTCCGAAACAAGGGCCATTTTCATACTCCGCTTAAGGCAAAGAAGAGAGTGTGGTATCGTTTCTTCCTTGGTTGTGTACGTGAACAATGTGAACAGGTTGCCTTCCAGAATAAGAGAAATCCCAAAATTTGCAGGTCTTCAGGAAGGAGATAAAAAAATTCCTATGTTTTGGCAATCATACAAAGCATCTACCCATATCTGCGATTCGCAAGACCACTTCTTTGAAAACTGGCCCTTGATATAGCTTGAGGACGCCCAAGATATAGTGCAAGACATCTAAGCACCTTGAGCTCAAAACTCATCCACATTCATCATGGTTACCGTTCTAGCACCTAAGAGACTTGAACGGTATCCGTCCCACCCATTTTCCAGGGTTTAAGAATAGCAAACTGAATACAATATGATCTTATCCTTCAACTACCTCTTCCTTCAATCCTTATTTCTCATCTAAATCTTCATTCCTTCTCTTCAGACTTACATTTATCACTTTCCAACTTCTTGACCACTGGATCCGTGGAAAAAGTATTAGGATTATGACCTCTATGGTACTCCTAGTAAAGGCATGCTAACAGACCTAAGCCTTGCTGTTGTGTCCCCAGGCGTTCGACTTCTTAAATTGCGCCCCACGAGTCAAAAAGACACGCACCGGACAGGAGGTATATTTGCAGAACACTACACGGGCCGGCGTGGGTATGAAAACACACAAAGTCCAGTCCCAATCATGGCTGAGGGCTAATTTGAATTTATCGATCTGAAAGAACCACGGGTCGTGTGAGGGGCATGTAACAAGCAGTAGTAACAAATGTTCTGAAACATGGAAAAACTGTGTTTTTCTTTCACCTCCAACACCTCCCTCTCTTAAAAATGCGGGTTACCTGGGGTTCACTTAACTCTTTCGAAGCGGATCCACCTAAGTCCACTTGGATCTGCGACCATGGGGGTACGGGCTTCGGCCAAGACATCAGTGTCGCCCGTACTGGTAGATGAGTCATTGACTCTTTGATAAAATTTAACTTCGTAATCCGGTTGGTTCCGTGCAGCTTATCATTTGTAGAGTATACTGGGTAGATTTTTCCATAGTGTAGCAAATCATTGAGTCTGCGTTCACAGGCGATGCTTCCTTTCAGCTGCAGAAGTTCCTCTGAAACCTTTTTAACCGTTAGGATTGTAGGTTTGACTGACGATGTGCCAAGTCTTGCCCGGGTTCCAAGAGAAGTGCTCTTGAGAGCATGCAACGTTTCTGGTAGCAGCGATATCGGGACATACTTGCGTTTCACTGTGGGGTATTTCCTCTTCCCTGAAAAGTGTGTACGAAATACTGCAAAAGGCGTGTCTCTCACTGTGCCCAGATACCTGTTTCTTTTGAATTTTGAGCTCGCTTGCAACCTTGGAGTATACGCGCATCTGAATTGGTGCGCCTTTTGACAATGATGATTTTTGTGGGCGCAATTTCTCACAGAACGTCTTCCATCACCGTTCCATACTGCAGTCGGGGGCTTCCAGTTCGGCACGTTTCCATTCACATTTTGGACACCAATGACTGTATGACAGGGCTGGGGTTCTTCTCTGTGTTCTGAAGTTGCAATCGTTTCTGGGTCATGATTCAAACTGGGCAGCTTGTGGTATTCAGATACAATTTCCTGGGCTGTTAACCTCGGTTCCGGTTCCCATTCCACTTGAATGTTGAGCTTTTCTGATAACAGCTGAATTAACTGCCGCTGTGATTTTTCAAACTGGAGTTGTTGCTGCTGAAGGAGGGACTGCAACTGCTCGAATGAAATAGCCATGATAATTCAACACCTCCGTCGCCAGAGATCTGTTGTGTCCCCAGGCGTTCGACTTCTTAAATTGCGCCCCACGAGTCAAAAAGACACGCACCGGACAGGAGGTATATTTGCAGAACACTACACGGGCCGGCGTGGGTATGAAAACACACAAAGTCCAGTCCCAATCATGGCTGAGGGCTAATTTGAATTTATCGATCTGAAAGAACCACGGGTCGTGTGAGGGGCATGTAACAAGCAGTAGTAACAAATGTTCTGAAACATGGAAAAACTCTGTTTTTCTTTCACCTCCAACACTTGCATAGGATGATGAAAGCGTTTTCTGCTGCAGATGCACCCAAGCTTAGCATTAGAATTGTCCAAAATCGTCTAAATACCGGCTTTAAATGAATATTTATGTGTCTTCCTAGATGTCGGTTGCTCGCTGTCATGGCTGTCGACGATACCGCTGCTTTCTGTGCTGTCCTCCATAATCTTGCGTACCGCACTTTTGAGAAGTTTGAAAGTGACTTATAGCGCTTTCAACTGCGTACTGCATCATGTTTTGTCAAATCAGATGTCCTGACATCGGTGGCGTATAGGAGGAAAACCGGGAAAGAGTTACCTGAGGGTGTACGGTACAAATCCGTGCAATATAGATGCGTGCATTGTTGCCGAAGGCGATAGACATGCAAGCGGTAAGTTCACATGTAATGTTTGTGAGCGCTTATTAACTTTAGGTACAAGAGTTACGACTGCAAGGCGCATATAGCCGTACTGCATAACGGGTGGTTCTACGACATAGTATCCTACAGCGTTGAACACAGCCATAACTTTTATGTAGGAAAGCCGTTCCTGTAAGTCAACAACAGACGGCTTCCGCAGCACGCCGAAGAGGACATCTACCGTCCGATGCAGTCGTTCAAGGACACACTCAAGCTCCGGAGGTATGCGTTGAAGCACTACGGTAGAAGGTTGAACTGTTATGTCCTCCGGCCAATAAGAGATAAGATGAAGGGAAAGGTTGAGGGGAACTCGGTGGAAGCTGTGATACATTTACTTGAAAGCGTTGGCCAATGTGATGTGGTGTATGAGGAGTCGGAGTTACGGTAAATACTTTTTGTTCCCAGGTAAGTACGTGACGTGGTGGAGCTTTATAGTGAGACATTGCTAGCCGAAGCGGCACACCAAATGAAATGCGGTGGCTACATAATGTGGCACTGGCTGTTGGTCGATGTGCATGGTATTGGGCGTTCAGTTTTCTACGCGCTGCGTCCTAATGAGACGACGGCATCCTACCTGAACGCGGTGCGCAACCTGCGTCTGATGTTACCAGCGACTGAGACAGCAAAGACGGTAGTAATTAATAATTGCATGGCCTAGGTGCATGCATTCCAAACAGTGTACCCCTATACGCGGATAGTATTGTGCTGTGTCCACTTGCTGAAAGATGTCACCCGTCTTTGCAACGGGTTATCCGGGAGAAGCGCAACCGACAGGTTGCTTATTAAGCAGTGGGTACGAACTTAGTGTACGCAAGGAGCTCCCGGGTGTTCGTCAGGTATTTGACAGCCATTAAAGACAGGAAGGCGGACGCACACAGGTACTTAGTACGAACCTGGTTGCCGTTCGTGAAATCATGGGCAGCGCACCGGTTGACGTCGACCTGTTTGTACGGGTGTTTTACAACCAACGGAGTGGAAAACGAAAATAGGCATTTAAAGAGCGGTCTCTCCGAGCGGACGTCCTTATTGGGCCTGTATACCGCGGCAGTTAACCGCGACCTCGAGGCTCAAGCTCAGTGGGAAGATCTGATGGGAAAACGGACTTGTCGGAGCATGTAGTGGACTCTTGCTTCCAAAGCCTTGGGCAGGCGGCGTTGCAGTTTTCAGGGTATGCAAGGACGCGCCTGCGATGTCATTAAACTAGGGAGAAGGTGACAGTGACGGGGTTGTCAGATGATAGATGTCAGGTGCAAGGTACCCGTAGACTCTACACCGTCTTAATGCGTGCTCAGGTAACCTGCCAATGCACCTTCAGTCGGCAGTGGCTGCTTCCGTGCACACACATTGTGCATGCGTTGCACGCAGAAGGCAGACCGGTTGAGGACACATTGCGTAGCAACCGGTGGGTTGTGTCCCACGCGCGACATCCGCGTGTAACGGCATCCACGTCTTCCGCCATCGTCCCACTACCGTCTGCTTCTACAGTTGCACTGGTACGTAGGGAACAGAAGCTTCGCGAAAGCAGTCAGGTTTTGGGTGATATTCAGGTGCAAGTGTGCAGCCTCGGCGATACAAAGTATAGGGAGGTTATGGATCAGTTGCGGGAGTTACTATGGAACCTTAGCAGCTCTCAGGAGGCGTTTGCGGCTTCATCCACCGCAAACGTAATGGATTCAGACGCGGAAGGGACGAGTGAAGGTACCAGGGAAGGCACAAGGCGTAAGCAACGTTTAGTTCCAATTCCAGAATCGTCAGCCAGTCAGGAGCATGAAAGGAAGACACTTCGTTTTCGAGACTTGCACACGAAAATGTCTAAGGTGTATAGGCCTCCAAGGAAGCGTCGCAGCCATGCACCACTCCCAGCCAACTACGACAAGGACAAGTGCGCTTCGTGCCTCCAAACGGATTGCGAGGCACAGAGTGGACAGGCGGTTGACTGGGTCATGTGCTGCAGCTGCCGCCTTTAGTATCATCAGGTATGCGTCTCGTACAGTGGACAGGAACACTTCAATTGCCATCGATGTATGTAAGTCTTTCCTTTTCATAGTGGTGCTTTTTCGTTTATTTATATCCGCGCTATCCATTGCTTCCGCTTAATCGCTACGTACACCCACTGCTCCCATATGGGGTGCCTCCTCTACATGCTTGATGTATAATACATGGTACAAGTATTCCTTGCGCTCAATCTGCATTTTGATATCATATCACCTCCCACTTGCCTAGTGATCCGCCGCGTGGGGATGAGTATGAATTACCTCACTCGTACGTGCGTGAGCATTTTGTCTGGGACTGAACAGCTTATCCTTTCCTTTACCTTGCCTGCCGCTTCTACCTACGGTTGGTTTAAGGGAACACCTGTTTTACGGTCCTGCGTTATCTCCATTTCTGGTGCTCTGCTATTCCATCAGCAATACACGACATCATGTTTGTTAGCAGCACTAGATAACACGTTAGCGTTCATCAGCAACTGCCGGTAGACTATCGGCTGCAGGTTAGGGAGGCCGTGAAGGACGTCAACCATAGGCGAGCCCCAAGTGAACAACGTGCGTTCTTAATGCGAGGCTTGGTGAGTATGTACCTGAGGTACATACTCCTGGTATCATATCCAACTCTACGCGGTCCCTCCTTGAAGGTACGCTAAGCGAACTTCGACAGGCTGCTGCACAGTGTTACCAGAGAATCTAGCGTTCATGGGTTTTAGGGGTGACTTGAAGCTTTTGCGTGGCAAAACAAAATGTTTCCAGTTCCCTGAGTAACTTAGGGCTTTGTACCTCAAGCTCCTTTTCTCTACCTCTTCTGAAGCGTTGATATCATTTTTCCTTCTTTACTGTGCACTTCTTTTTCCGTGCCTTCCATATCTCACCTCCTATGGTTCACTTACCTCACGTGATTGCCGAAGCAGGCACTGATAGGGCAGAAAACGTGGGCATTCCTGGTTTGCCCAGGGAGGCATAGGAGTGTTCAGGTTTAGACGCCGTTGCACTGCCTTGATAGTAAATTCCCGTGAGTGTTCCTTCTTGAGCAAATCGTTGAGCCAGGAAATGAGAAAGTGGTATGTCTTGGTAGATCTTAAAGGAAACTCCCGAAACACCATGATCAACCCATTAATGCCCCCCTTCCCTGCACTAACAGTCTCGGCAGTGCAAGTTACTTTAAGTAGGCGGGAAGTATGAAGTAAATGTGAGATGAAGGGGAACGAGAGTCATTCAATTGAAGGATAACACCAAAGAGTGCAGTGAATGACAGAATAAGAATAAGAACTGCTTGACCAATATGGCGTCCTTTAAGACCCCGAAAGAACATGGTTTTAACCACAACATTCTGCAACCTCTGCTTGCAGTCTTCTTCCAGCTGTCACCAGAATGCAAAGACCATGAATACACGAAGCCTAGGTCTACGTGGTTGCAGACAAGGGGATTTTAACCAACCCCTGTACGCACGTGGAAGGTGAAAAATTTGCTCCCATACGAAGAACGGAAACCATAGCCTGATTTATGGACATAAGGCACAAAGTAGACCAGTCCCAGAGTCTGTCCAGCGCACACTGTATGGCCTCACAAACTCCAGGAACATTAAGCACATCCCATAGCTTAATGTCATCAGCACCCGGCATTATCCATAGTATTCCACTGTTCAATGTATTATATCCGTCCATACATGAAGTAAACCACTTTGCCACAAGCCTTGCCTGATAATGGTTGCAGCTACATGGAACCCTACACTAGCAAATATGGAGAGAGGTAAACCGTTACAAAAAGTGAAATAACACACCACAGTTAGCCCTTATACTTCATGCACCGACTCTCACGTGACAAACTAAGTCCGCTGACGAACAAAGAAAACGGGTTATGAACAGTTGTGGGGCATTAAAACAGTAACCGGATCAGTATCTAAATAAGTACCCGGCCATTATGTTTCATTAACCATTTATATTCGAGAAATATGCCAAGTTACATATAACAAGGCAATAAAAAAAAGTGAGAAATATTTACCATATACCTAAATGTGACATGGTTGGCGTCATCCGGTTTCGGATTTGCCTGTCACTGTGGCCAGCCAATGGACGCCTGCGCCTACAGAGGGACCATGGATGGCTTGCGCTGCACCAACCACAGTTCCAACCACCCACCCCATATCCAGTGTAAACCCGAAGGAATAAGATCGGGAGGCATGTGGATGGGAGCCACGTTTCATCAACGGAGCCGGCCCACACTCCTTCACAGGCAAACGCAAGCACGCTGTATTTGGGGAATCAACCGCACACAAGGCGGTGGCTGGACCGTAGTCCGCTCCACACTGAGTGCACGGAACCACTCTTTGAGCCTAGCACGGTCACAAGGACCGTGCACCCCGTCCCCTCCAGCAACGACCAATTGTCTCCTGGAGCCAGTATGGATGAGGTAGTGAATAATGGACAGGTAGGCACCTTTTCAACATGCACATCAAGCGCAGCCACATCGGGGATATCAAGCAACAGCCAGACACTTAGAACGAGAAAATAACTTAAAATAAATCCAATAATGCATACAGATACGGTGGCATAACTCTTCGCTAAATTAGCATATGAAGTAATTTGGTTAGCAA